GAGCCGTTTGTGCCAGGATGGGGAGAAAGGTATTGTAATAATGTAAATTATGTAAAAAATAATGCGTTTTTCGAACCACCGAGCATGAGAGCATGTTCTAGTACACCCACAAAACAAAATCAAGACATTGTAAAAGAGCATAATAGGACCCCATTAAGAGCCAAAAAGTCTGATTGGACTCCATGTACAATAGGTCTTTTTGCGAGTGTGGAAGTGTTCAGAACAGCACTAATCACACATGCTCTTCCTTCGCCGAGGTGAAAGCAAACTGCTATAGTCGTCCTTCCTCTGTTCCCAATAGCATAACTGCACTTCAGTCCCCAGCTGTACAGATGTACCCGTGTGCGGGTAGTTCTCCTGAAAGTCACTTTTAGTAAAAGAGACACCGACTGTGCAATGAGGAGTGACAGAAGCCCTGCGTTCCTCCACGCTTCACAGAGCCCAGAGCTCTTAGAGTTCTTAACGGGACTCCTGAAATATGTTGTGTGGGCGCTGTCTGATGTGTCAGGTGCTAGTGCTGTCTCTTTCTTTCTTTCTCTTTCTTACTTTTTACAACCGAGTGAAAAAAACGGAGGTAGACAGAGAAAGGTTGGCTTTCGCCTTTTAGGCATGATCACCAAAGACTCAACTGGCTTTGATTCCCTGCATTTTTATTAACCATTGAGGTTACGATTATGTATTTTTTTTCATCCCCCCGTTTTCCTCTGTATTTTTGGGGAGGGAGGTGGGGAACAAAACAACCGCAGAGTCTGGCAATCAGAGCCGAGCACCCGTCAAGGCAGCCTTCAAACTGTCATTTGCCTCCTCCCCAAATTGCTTCTCTTCCTCCTCTCCTCCCCTCCCGTTACCTGGCGGGGTTCTCAGAAGCCGAACGAACGGCAGACAATTGCCTTTGTGCATCCTGCTGTACCTGTCACCAACCCGCAATTGAGACATTAATCATTTTCCTGATTATAGCTAAAAGATTAGTTTTTCTACCTTTGTCTTCTCTCTCGAGGAGAAGAAGAAAAAAATTGCTTGACACGTGCACCGGCGGAGAGATTTGGTAATGAAGTCTGGAGACGGATTTCTAAAGCGTTGCGCGCCGCTATCTGAGCCGATCACAAAGGCACTTCAGTTTTTTCCTTCTAAAACGAAGCGATCAGACGCTCCCACCAATCAGTGTCAAAGACCTCCCCAGATACCTCGGATAAGAGCGCGCTCGCAAAAAAACCAACATGAAGAACATGAACTATGGATGATAAAAGCATCTTAGCATTTAACAGAGCCACGGGCGTTTTTCTACAGTCGTGCAGATGCTTATAGTTGTTCTACATTCGCCCTTATTTCCATCCGTCTCATTTTTTGCCATTGTTTGGTTACATGCGCATGTACTTGAAAAACAAAGGGCATAATTCAGAGCTGGTGGGCAGCTCTGCTCAGTCATTACCATGAAACGTTTTATTCTCCTGTGTCAGTTTGCTGTGACGGGTTTAGAAGGAGATATCATGCTGTTCATACTGTACATCACCTCCGGAGTTTCAATCGAGCAGAGAAGGCTCATGTTTTAAAGGAATAGTTATATATATATATATATATATAAGGATATTGGGTTATATTTAGTCTAAAGGTCCTTGCACACAGAGTTCGTAGTTTTCGCACGTTAAAAAATAAATACGACCTCACAATGTCAATCACATTTACACACCTCACACTTTCGCTCATCATAAAAAAATTCGGATTGGGTTCGATTTTCTGTGTTTTTCACATCTGTAGCAAGTGTTTTGACCATTCAGAGCCACCGTACAAGCAAACGCCAAAATCCAGAATGGCGTCTGACTAGTTGATCTACTTTGTCTCACAGCACCATGCACTGTAAAAGTCCTTGCACACTGATTTCACAAAAATTGGTAGTCTTCTTTTTAATATGTGGCTCCAGTATCACTAGCAGAGGATTGGATGGACCCAATATTTCCTCTTTCTTTTTCTCTTTTTAAGAAGAGAGAGGACAACAAAATCATCCTCACTGCTTGAAGACTCCATTTTGTATTGTTTTGCGAATTTTTTCACAACTGATTAATTAATACGCATCAGACTACGTGTGCAAGGTTTCTGTGTGTGACAAATTTTTAGGATGGCGAATACAAAAAGAAGGTAAAGAAAGTCATGCAGGTTTGGAACAAATGACTGTAACTGATAACAGGATAAATAGGATGAGTAACTGATAACGGAGTTTTCTTTTTTGGCTGAACTATCCCTTTGAGGCATTAGTACCTTTTTCATTGAGTAACTTGAGACAGATTTTAGCCTGGGAGCACCATTTCTATGCAACTCTTTGTCCTAGAGCAGAAGAGAGATGCTTGGATTCATTAGTTTAGGCGGGTAGACTGTGCTTTGAGTCATGTGTCAGTCCATGGAAGAACCTGAATCCAATTATTTCAGAGAGACAGAAAAGGATCCCAATTATTTCCACAGCCAAATACCTGCAGCTACTGCAGCCTGGTCAAGGAAGGACAGGAGAGGAACAACTTTCCTGAAGTACAGCTAAAAAAAACATTTGGTTTTGACCCACTCAGTATCTGCATTTCCTTCTGCTTACAGCAGGTGTTATTTAAAATACAATTAAAACCTGCTAATTAAATCCAGCCATGTGGAAAGCTACATTTTTTCCCCCACTATTGGAAAACTGGTAGGTTGATGCGGGCGGAAGTGAAGAAACAAACTGGTACAGCAAGACAAAATGTGACAACAGCCAGTGCGCGTCCAGCCAGTTTGAAACAGATGGTATGCAGAAGCAGCGCTAGGCTCTTCCAGGCCGTGCCAGGCTGGTTGTGGCCACAGCATCTGTCTCTGACATGGCACTGCCACAAAAGGACAGAGAAACACACATAGTTCAATCGCGTTAGACCCTTATTTTGTCCTGCTAAGCTGGCCAGCAGCATTGTGCAGCATTTAGAATGGCTTTTTAATGTAATAGCACAAAGGTTGCAGGTTCAGTGTTTGGTAGGGGTGGTCCATGAACTGAAGAAGTGCTGGAACAGCCCTTCACTGTCATCACTGTAGTAAGTAATACTTTAGTGCTCACTTTTATCCTAAGTGACTACCAGTACACTTACTACAGCAACAATATCCCTGAAGCAATCTGGTTTAAGTGTCTTGCCCAAGGGCACAGTGGTGGTAGTTCATGGATCAGCTCTTGTGTGGCTGCAAACCTGCAACCTTCAATCACTTAATCCTACATATTTTATATATCAATGCTTAATTTTTCTAATCAGAAATACAGTAAAAACAATAAATATTGTGAAATAATATTGCTATTTAAATGAACAGTTTTTTATTCGAATATACAGTATTATAAAATGTGATTTATTCCTGTGATATGCAAAGCTGAATTTTCAGCATGGTCCTTCAGAAATAATTCTAACATGCTGATTTTGTGCTCAAGAAACATTTCTTATAATTATCAAAGTTACAAACAATTGTGCTGCTTAATATTTTTGTGGACACTTTGATACTTTTTGTTTCACGATTCTTTGATTAATAGAGTTCAGCAGCATTTATTTGAAATAGAAATATTTCCCTGCCCCTTTTGATCAATTTAAAGCACCCTTACTGAATAAAAGGATGAATTTTTTTAAAGACAAATAAATCTTACTGACCAAAAACTTCCAAATATTAATTTTAAAACCTGTTACACTCTGCAAAAGGGTGTTTACACTACAATCTTTATAAATAAAAAATGCATTAAAGTAATTCATTAAAATAAATGCTCTAATATGATTAGCATGTAGGCCCTAATATCATTTAAATAATGTTTATATCAGAAGTATCTTGTCATTTTTCTGTATTCAGTGACTGATTGAAACTCCGCTAAGAATCAGTTTTTCGACAATTTGACTAGATCTGCATTTCCTCCGCGCCCTCTCAGTTACCTCACGTGGGGTGCTGTGGAGTGTGTAATGGGATTACAGGTTTTGATGACAGTGTGACTTTAGAGTTATTGAATCCCATTCATTTTTAACCAGATTCAGCCCCTCTGAGCTGCAAGAGAGCTTCTGTTATCACGGAAACACTGTGTGTAATGTGAAGTGCCTACAGAAGAGATCTGAGGCCACGGCGGCGACATCAAATGTTGTTCAAACCTACACGCTTTTCAGTCAGCTGCCTGAGAGTTTTCTTTTTTATGTTTGACTTTCTTAGAAAAATGTAGTAGGTTAGTCCTTCTATAGATGCTTGATATTTCGCGCTATTTGGGGATGTTCAGGCCTGGTAACCACCAGAAGGTTGCAGGTTCAATCCCTAGTTCGAGTTTTTAAAGAATATTTAATGTCAAATAAACTTTCAGAGGTACAAAATGTTACCAGAATCCTTACATCCAAAAAACAGAGGCTGTGTTTTTCTTGTGTTTGTGCCTTATTGTTCTTTCAGGCTCTCGGTTCGTTCCAGGAATCTGGCCTCGAGGACGAAAACATTTTCTTCGTTATACACCCCGTAGTGTTTACTTGTAATAGCACCGACCTAGCAAGCAAGTATAAGCCAATACCAGTTAATCACTGACAAGAAAGCCATCTCAATCTCAGAATTGACAAATATCACTTCTTATACACTCCTCAAGGGCCGAGTGAAGAGGAAGAGTGAAGGAATGAGGAACCAAAAGCTATGGAATGAGATGCACCCTCAATCTCGCGCAAATCAAGTTTGTGTGGTCAAAATGAGTTAGTATCGATTGCGGCTCTGGCTGCGAGGAGGCGAGATGCGAGTGGGAGGTGTGGTGCTCGCCGGTTCTGCCGTGCTTTGAAGATATTTAGCTCTAATTAAGTTTCTCCCCTGAGCGTCGGGGAGAAGAAAGAAATGAGATGAAAACCTCCCGGCACAGTCAGAGTTTCACAGCAATCAATTTTGTTGTTCGAGCATCAGCGCTGCTCTCTGCTACTCCGAGGGAACGGTTCGGTGCCCGTGCACGTAGACTTGAGTGCATCCGTCAAGTGTGACTGCTGATGTTTATGCGGTACAGATCACAGTTGTTGCACACTTGAGGCATGAGAGGGCTGCAGTTTGCTTCATTTCAGCTTAACAATGTAATCACATTGGATTCGGGGCCTAGCGCTTAGAGATACATTGAGCATTGTTGCTTGTGTTGCAGGTTCCAGTCAAACTCTAGACCATGTTTGATCTTTCTGTAATATGTATATTACAGAAAATTAAACCTCTTTAAGGACTATTTTTGTCCATTGTGAAAATATTTTAATGCTAATTAATGACATTTTCCATTACTTTTTGTTATTACTGATTTTTTTTTTAATAGTTTCTCATTAGATTCTCATAATGGTAGTACAGTATTTCTTTTTTAATTTCATAAAATAATGTTAACTGAAAACAAATACCACTATGATGTATTTGCAATAGTGTTATTTTAGTATCATTGATATACTGTTATATTTTTGTTACTGTTTAGAATTTGTTTTGATTTTTATATTTTGTTTTTGTTTTAAATTGTTGAAATAAAGTTTTAGTAATTTTGTTGTGTTCTTTCTCTTTTTTATGTGTTTTTGTTTCATATAAAACTATATATGTCTAAAACTATATATAGTTTTCATTCATTTTTATTTCAGTTTTAGTTATTTTAGCACTTAGTTAAACTAAACTAAAAAGAGAAATGATGCCTTGGCAACTAGTGGAAATAAAATGAATTTGTGATTTTTATATTTTATTTCATGTATTTAATGTTAAAATCATGTTTTTAATGTTTAACATTTTTAGTGTATATTAATAACTGCTTTGCAATTTTACTACCTTTTTTTTCTTTCAGCAAAATGATAACTTTTTTTTTTTTTTTTGCCCAAAATAAGACGACCCAGGCATGTTCTTGACAGGTTTTGCTCTAGATATGCAGCTCATTTCTATCTTGAAGAACAAAGTCTCATAATAATGTGTGATATGCCGAGTCGATCAGAAGAGTGTAATTTACTCTTTTAATGTTTATTCCTGATTTTTGAGTTTAAAAGGTACTCTTTCCTTTGTTCTCCAGCTCCGTTGTTGTCTTACAAAAGGAAATGCATCTGCAGTCTTTTCAGTTCAGTAAAACACTTGAAAACAGATGGTATCAAAGGGATCTTAATGGGAAAGAACTGAAGTGAGATGAAACAATGAATAACAATTACTCTCGAAAAATGCTGATGAAAATGAAGCATATTTCTCTCTGTCTCTTTCTCATTTCCAGGTGTGTAAGGTTCTGAACATCACGACTATGAGCTGTTTGGCTCCCTCGCTGACAGCCGAGTACAGGCCGGGTTTGGATTCAGTCAAGCACGCAGACGAGTTTGGCTTCATCTTCAATAATGTGCAAGCCCTTCTAGTGTACAACAACACTAACTTCATGTACTACCCCAACCCTTACTTTGAGCCTCTCAGCACCAATGGCATACTGGAACAGAAACCTGGCTCACCTATCATTTTAAAGGTATGTTTATCCTCACGCTTGACCCTTTGACCTGAGAGCTGCAAATCAGACTGTTAATATATAAGCATATGCAATGTATCCTGAAAGATCTGATATCCATAAATATGTATACAGAAATATTTAGTAGTGTAAGCTTCTCAAACGTATCTAACCATCATTCACGTTTGCTGTGTGTGTATTAGGGTAAAAATCTGGTTCCTTCGGCCTCTGGAGGAGTGAAGCTTAATTACACTGTTCTGATAGGAGAGACTCCCTGTTCAGTCACCGTATCTGAGTCTCAACTGCTGTGCGAACCACCAAATCTCACCGGCCAGTACAAAATCATGGTAAGACGTATGCAAAAATATGTATATTTCAAATTTTTTTGAACACATCCACATCAAAACCGTCTAGTTTTTCTGTGAAATATTTTTCAACCCAGATCTAAACCATCAAGTGGTTTGAAATCTGATTTCGGAAACACGTCTCAGTATGAACTGCATGTGAACTGTCAGGGGTTTTTTTTTTTTTTTTAATTCAGCAAGGACTCATTCAGTTGATCAAAAGAGACAGTAAAGACATTTAGAATGTTACAGAAGATTGCTATTTCAAATAAATGCTGTTCTTTTAAACATTCATCAAAGAATCCCAAAATGCATCCGTTTTCACAAAAATATTAAGAAGCACAACTGTTTTTAACACTGATCATAAGAAGAAATAGTACTTAAGCAGCAAATCATATGTGACCCTGGACCACAAAACCAGTCTTAAGTCGCTGGGGTATATTTGTAGCAATAGCCAAAAAAACATTGTATGGGTCAAAATTATCGATTTTTCTTTTATGCCAAAAATCATTAGGATATTAAGTAAAGATCATGTTCCATGAAGATATTTTGTAAATTTCCTTCCGTAAATATATCAAAACTTAATTTTTGATTAGTAATATGTATTGCTAAGAATTTATTTATTTGGACAACTTTAAAGGCGATTTGCTCAGTATTTTGATTTTTTTGCACCCTCAGATTCCAGATTTTCAAATAGTTTAAAATTATTTATACATAAGCTTTCAGATGATGTATAAATCTCAATTTTAAAAAAATTGACCCTTATGACTGGTTTTGTTGTCCAGGGTGTTTTCTAAAGGATCCTGTGACACTGAAGTCTGAAAATTCAGCTTTGCCATCACAGGAATAAATTATATTTTAAAATAGTAAAAAAGAAAACCATCCCTAAACATATGAATGTAGTTAATAGCTTTTTTCCTTTCTTCTGTTTTTGTAAAACACAACAGTCTAATAATCTGATGAAAAAATTAGTCTGATTTCTAAGAACAATACCTCATGTGTTATGTTTTTTACATGCTTGAAAAGCCCTTTAGTGCTTGTTTACTAGATTTGAGACCTGTGCGGTTGAGGAGGGCGTTAAATGTTCTGTTTAAACACTCATTATTTACTATTGTTGTACCGCTTGTTGAGACGCAGACCAGACCTTCAGCAATGCCACAGTCTTGTTGCTGTCACCAGGTTCCCTAGAAACAGAAAACCAATTACCGTTAGTGCTGCCCAAAACTTAACACAATGTGTATGTGTATGTGTATGTGTATGTGTTTTTCTAGATTTTTGTTGGTTTGGAGAGTAAGGTATATTTTTACACTCTGTATCTCTGTGTGTGCATTTATTCTTGATTGATTCTCATGTGTATATATATATGTGGGTTTGTTCTATCGGGTAGGGGTCGGTGGTCTGCATGTGTCCCCCGGCTCAGTAAACATTCTCTCTGACAGCCTCCTGACTCTTCCTGCCATTGTCAGCATCGCTGCCGGCGGCGGCCTCCTTCTCATCATCGTCATCCTTGTGCTTATTGCCTATAAGCGTAAATCCCGCGAGAACGACCTCACACTCAAACGACTCCAGATGCAAATGGACAACCTGGAGTCCAGGGTCGCGCTGGAGTGCAAAGAAGGTGAGAAAGACACGGACATCAGCCTTTCACTATGTTGCGTTATTGATTATTTGTGTTCATCTGAGAGAAAATAATCTCATGTTTCCTTAGAACCACACAACATGACTGTGTGAGCCGAACTGAATCCAATTTACAGTGCATTCAACATATACATACTCTTTTAGTTAGAGAATTGGGATTGCAGAACATCACAGGATGGATTTGAAGTGTCAAATGTTTTAAATATTAGAACATATACTGTTAGTTGTGTTTGTTCTGTTATCCATTATTCCCTTACTCGCCAAAAACTCAACAGTTTTGATGTCATATTCTTATTTATTAGATTGCACCAATTCAATCTTTAGTCATAGAGCAATGCGACACACATCAGCATTTGAGGGTTTCAGGTGGCTGACAGATCAAACCGTTTCTTACACACAATGCAAAAGAGAGAGCGTCCCTGACCTACGGTTAGTGGGTCTGAGAGGATGAGCTTTGTGTTGACTGATTCTGGAGCCGCAAGGAATTTAAGATGCAGAAGTATTAAAGGGGCAGATCGAGTCCTGCACTCCATGAACGCCTGCGAGGGAGTGAGTTTAAGATGAGAGAAAAGGCACAGAGAGAGACGCCGGGCCGAGATGAAGAGGAGGACAGGTGAGAGGAGACGATAGAGTGAAGGCAGAAGGAACGTTCCAGAAAAGAGAAATAAGGAAACGTGAGGAGAGAGAGAAAGAGAGATAAATAACTCCCTCAGGGAAGAGTGCTGCCCCAGGCTCTGTCAGAATGGACCCAATTAAAGACATCCCACCTCCAGTCTCCAGCAGCAGGGGACAAGCACTTCAGCAGCCTGCAATTTACTCTTTGTGTGTGTTTGTGTGAGTGAGAAAACCATAAATAGAGAGAAGCTGAGAGGTTATTTTGGTTTGCTCTCTTCGTCTGCCTCCAACACCCTTCAGGAACTTCATAAAAACCTCAAACTGGACAAAACTAAGTCTTCAGAGATGCTGATTAGCAGTTCAGCGGTTCAGGTTTTGTTGTGTTTGGACCTTTAATGTGACTACAACTTAAAAAACCCACATATATATCGTATATGTCAAGTAAAAGTTTCTGTTCCAGTTCATAGTATTATATATTTGAAGTAATTTAAAATAAGAAATGATATCATTTTGATGACAGCTAAAAACCTTTTCTAACAAAACAAAAACAAATGAATAAAAAAATAAAAATGTTACATATATTTTAATGTGCTTATACTATATTTCATGAAAATATATCATCGTAAATTAAAGCATGTATTAGTATAACAATAAATACTACCATGATGCACTTTCCATTTACAGATTTCGAATTTTATAAGAATGTGCTTTATTTTTTTTCTATACCAAATAAAATGATTATTTAAATCATTTTTTCTTGATTTTGTGGCAAACCGTGACCTGGACATTGAACTGTGAATTTTTCAGTGTATTGAAATTGTTTCTCGTTTTTTTTCTCCTCCCCATTTTGTTTTCAGCTTTTGCAGAACTGCAGACAGACATTAATGAGTTGACGAGTGATCTGGACCGGGCCGGAATTCCTTATCTGGATTACCGCACATATGCCATGAGAGTGTTATTCCCCGGCATTGAGGACCATCCTGTGCTCAGAGAGCTGGAGGTGGGCTGCGGTCTATGTTGAGAGGATTTATTTCATGAACACTTGTCTCTAACAAGTTGTCCTAACAACAAATTTAATATGCAATCATACTGGATATTTAATATACAATTATATGGTACAGGATTTTAGACCAATGAGCCTACCCAGCACAATGCCACATAAAGCAAATGACCATAACAATATTTAACCGGGTTAGGACATAGTGTAATTTACAGCTTTTCATGTTGCATGTGCTCTTGTTTTGTATTTAAATTATGCATTATTGATTTAGTTCATTGACAGTCGCAGTTGGCTTATAAAAAATGTTTGTATTTAAAAGCAAAGATGTTGTTGTGTGTTCCAGGTCTCTGGTAATGGGCAGCTGTGCGTTGAAAAAGCTCTGAAGCTGTTTGCCCAGCTGATAAACAACAAGGTGTTTTTGTTGACGTTCATCCGTACGCTGGAAATGCAGCGCTCCTTCTCCATGCGTGACCGTGGCAATGTGGCGTCGCTAATAATGACGGCTCTCCAGGGTCGACTGGAATACGCCACGGATGTGCTCAAACACCTGCTGTCCGACCTCATCGACAAGAACCTGGAGAGCAAGAACCATCCCAAACTACTGCTCAGGAGGTTTGCTATTCACTTCATGTTTCTGCTTTCGTTTAGTTTTTCCATTTACTTTGAATGAATACGTCACTAACTGAACTCAAAGTTTTGTTGTGTTATCTTAGCCGGGCATTATAGCTATATTGATTCATGATCCATAACTCTGCAGTCCCTCAGTACGGCCCTATTGTCAGTGTCACTTATCATTTGTGCGCTACTCATAAAACATTCATGAGCAGCTCAGATCCACTTGTTTTTTCCTCTCTCTCGCTCTCGACTGTCCTTTGTGCTTTCCCAATATATATATATATATATATATATGTATATGTATATGTATATGTAAAAGAATAAAAATATATACTTTAAGCGTTGTGTTATCTTAGCCGGGCATTATAGCTATATTGATTCATGATCCATAACTCTGCAGTCCCTCAGTACGGCCCCATTGTCAGTGTCACTTATCATTTGTGCGCTACTCATAAAACATTCATGAGCAGCTCAAATCCACTTGTTTTTTCCTCTCTCTCGCTCTCGGCTGTCCTTTATGCTTTCCCTCCAAATTTGTATAGGTTTTTCAAAGTCTGACTAGAGTCAGTCAACTAGAATCAGAATATTTATTGTCATTATACAAAAAGTACAACAAAATTATGTGCAATCCTATTTCAGTGCAAAAATAAGGTTTAGAGTTAAAACAAATACCAATATGTGTATATATGTAAATA